TGCTGTTGCCTGTAGGCCGAGACAGAGCCTACTTTGTACTGGAGTAATGCAATAGAAGACGGAAGAGGACCTACAAGGATCTTGACTGTCAGGCTAAGGAACTGGATTTATTGTTTGAGCAGAGCGATGGCATGTGCAGAACATTTTCAGAATAAATCTGGCAGCGGGAGGCCTCCAAGCCAGGCTCCGAGACACGAGAACGCCTGGACTGCTGGGCCAGTGATTCAGCGCAACAGATGTTTGTGCAGCACCTCCCTGGTGGCAGTGGGAAGGGTCAGGAATGAATAAGTGAGAGCACTTGCCTGAGGAATCCAGACTTGTGCAAGATCATATTGAAGGTTGGATAGATGAGAGAGGAGTGGGGGGGGAGACGGGAGGAGTCAGGGCCCCTCATCCTCCCACCCCCACTGGTTTTAGGGGTTGGCAAATGTGGCCCACAGACCAGATCCATCCAGATGCCTGTTTTTGTAAAATGTTTTTTACATTTTATTTATATACTTACTTTGCATTATTTTATTGATTTCAGAGAAGAAAGGAGAGGAAGAGAGAGCTAGAAACATCAGTGATGAAAGAATCATTGATCAGCTGCCTCCTGCACGCCCCCAATGGGGATTGAGCCCACAACCTGGGCATATGCCCTGACTGGGAATCGAACCCATCACCTCTTGGTTCCTGGGTCAACATTCAACCTCTCAGCTGCTGAGCCACACTTGGCTGGGCTGGTATTTTATATTTTAAAATAACAAAATAAGAACAGTATGTCATGATGCACGAAAATGACATGAAATTCAAATTTCATTGTCATAGCATTTTTGGAGCACAGCCTTGTTTGTCCATTTATGTATTGCCTATGGCTCCTTCCACATAGAGCAGCAGAGCTGAGTAGTTGTAACAGAGACTGCATGGCCCACAAAGCCTAAAATATTTACTGTTTGTCTCTTTACAGAAACCTTGTCCACCCTTGAGTCACACCCATCCTTATCTCATTCCTCTGTTCTCTGAAACTCAGTGTCTCTCTTCCTACCTGAAGCTTAGCTTCTACCCAGACTTTTAAATATCCTTCTCTATGTTCCTCCCTAGATCCTCAGCTTTACTCTCTGTAAGGACCTTTCCCCTCCCAAATATGCTCAAGACATGCCTTCCTTAGAAAACAAAAACAACACTGCTGCTGCTCGTCTCCATCTCCAGTCTGTACCTCCACTTCACCTAGACTGCTGACCCCAGCAGTCCGTTAAAACTAGTCTTGCTGAGTCATTAGTGAATTTCTAGCTACCGGGTACAGTAGTTTCCTCAGTCCTTATCTTCCTTGTTTTCACCGACATTTAACATTTTGATCATTCTTTTCTTTTTTTTAATTTAAATTCTTTATTGTTTAAAGTATTGCATAACTCTCCCTTTTCCCCCATTGACCACTCCCCGGCCACTCCCCCCATCCCAGCACATGCCCTCCCCCTCACCCTCCCCCCCTCATGTCTTTTTTTCTTAGAGACCCTTTTTTTTTTTAAATCTATTTATTCTTTGCTGAAATATTTAGACATCATGTATACAGCTAAGTACTTCAGTATACAGCTCCACACACACAAAAAAAGCCCATTGCACCTAATTGTACCTAACAAAATTAGCAATAATCCCTCCATCTAATATTCAGTCCATTTTCAGTTTCCCTTTTTACAATAGTAAAAAATGTCCTTCTACAGTTACTTAGATTCAGGATCAACTTTTTGGCAAGAATACTTCATAGAAGGGACCATGTCCTTCACATTGCATCACCTGGTGGGGTTCATCATAGCTAGCTGCCCCACTGTTAGCATCAACAAGGTGTAGCTGTGTGGTACAGGTGACAGCCTGGTTGTTCCAGTATAAAGTTTTTCTTTTCTCCTTATAACCAACAAGTAGTCAGTCGTTGGCACCCTGCAGATGTTAGAGACCCTTTTTCTTTTGTCTTCTGTGACGTTGCTCTCCTTTGCTTCTCTTCCTATTTCCCCAGCCCTTCCTCCCGCTCACCCTTCAATGGCTTCTTTTCTTGTACCATTACCTTAAACATGGGTGACTTTCACGGTCTAGCCTTTGTCCCCTTTAAGAGCTATTATTTTATTGAGTACCTACTGCATGGCAGTCACTATATTTAAATGCTTTTGCAAATTATACCTAATCCTTACAACAACACTAGAAAGATAGATTTTGTTTCCTCCATGTTATAACTAAGGAAAGTGAGCTCAATAAGTTCAAGCGATTTCCCCAAGGTTATTACAGTAAGTAGCCTCAGGGGCTGGATCTGAGCCTGCTGTAGTTTGCCGGTCAAGTAGGCTACTATCTGTGTACCAGACTCCTGCACAGACCTGTTTCTTAGCTTCCAGCTTGTATGTCTGACTGGCTACTAGACATTTCCATCTGGAAGTCATGGCAGTGCCTCAACCCCAACTCCTCAACTCTCTCCCAGCTCCAATCCAGCCCCAAGTTGGTGGTGTGACCATCTCTTTAGTCATCCAGGCCTTTGATCTTGACTTTGCCTATCCCTGACCCCTTTGACTCCTCAGCACCCAATTGTCACTAGAGCAGTGATGGCGAACCTGTGACACGCGTGTCAGAGGTGACACGCGAACTCATTTTTTTGGTTGATTTTTCTTTGTTAAATGGCATTTAAACATATAAAATAAATATCAAAAATATAAATCTTCATTTTACTATGGTTGCAAATATCAAAAAATTTCTATATGTGACACGGCACCAGAGTTAAGTTAGGGGTTTTCAAAATGCTGACACGCCGAGCTCAAAAGGTTCACCATCACTGCCCTAGAGGCTGTCATTTCTCCCCCTTTGATGTCTCTAGAATTCATCCCTCACATTGTCCACTGTTACTTCCCCAGTTCAGATTCTTTTCATCTCTCTCCAGAACTGTTGTCCTCTTCTCTTAATCTTTCCCTTCTACTCCAGTCTGTCCTCCACAGAATACCAGAATGCTCTCCTAAACCCCAGATCTGGGTGTCTCGCTGTCTTCGTTAAAACCTGTTGATGGCTCCCCATTGTCCTATTTCTCTACTCCATAGCTTAACTGAGGAGGCTTTGCCCTTTTTTTTCTAGAGTCTTCTCCTTCCAGTCTTTCTCATACTATAAGAGTTTTTGATGTTCCCTGTACCAAAAAAACACATTCATTTCTCCATGCAGTTCCCAAGGTGTTAGTTACCTCTTTCTGGAATGTCCTTCTTCCCGGTTTGTGTGAGGAAGGCCTTTTCACTTTGTTCCTTAAAAAATAGACTTTAACAGGCAAGCAAAAAGACACCCTCAGTTCAGAGAGAGTAAGTACCTTGGTCTCTGAGCCTCACTGATTTCCAGTCTTTCTGAGAGGGGTTAGTTTTCCCTTTTTTATGCTCCCAAGCACCATGTGTCTGTTGTTAGGCTCAGCCTGGTGTATAATAACTTGTGCACGTCTGCCTCCTTAAAATGGACATTTCTTAAAAGCAGAGATTTTGGTCTTGCTTACTTTTTCTTATGTGTGATAACTAGCTTGTTGGTTGAGACATAGTAGTTCAGTAACTGCTGAATGAGCAACACCAGTGTCGTTAGTAACACTAATATAAACTGAGGCTTTGGAGGAAGGTTTAAAGGATGAAGATTTTGCTAAAGCTGAAGAGTAGACAGTACTAGCACCCTGAGAGGTATAGCATCAGAGAATTTACAGAGTATTTTCACAAATGTTTCATCGTCTTTTGTTCCACTCAAAGAAAAGCACTGTGAGACAGTCAGGGCAGGCATTAATATTCGCATTTTAGAAATAAGGACCTGAAACTCAGAGAAGTGAAATGAGGTGCTCAAAGTCTTGAACATAAGTGCCAGAATTCAGTCTTCTCCCGCCAAGTCAAATGCTGCTTCCTCTGCACCAGTGTAGAGATGGGGCAGGTTTGGGAATAAACCTACATTTAGAGGTAAAAGGAAAGGAGTGGCTCAGAGAAGATAAAGAGAGCCCCAAGGAACTCCTGTGTGATATAGGACAAATTTTCAGGAGAGGGCATCAGCCTTGAGATCTTTTTTCAAATGAAGGGAAGTGGGGAGGGATAAAGAGTTTGGCCCCCAGGAATTCAAGAGAGTATTTTCATAACAGCGAAGCCAGCTCGCCAAGTAGCAAGAAATACACGGGCATTGCGGGAAGTGAAGAAGGCACAAGGGAAAACTACTCTTTCAAAGAGTTTGGTGGTAAAAGGAAATCCAGCGTCTAGCAGTTCGATAAATGTCAGGCTCTGAGAAATTCATGATACATTGTTTTCATTTTGTAGACTTGAAAATATTCAGTGGAAATTATGCTAGTATGTACCTGCTAATATGCATATGACTGAATATGTAAATTTTAGGATGTTTTAGACTCAATTTAACATTGGTCATTCCAATCAAGATATAGTGCCATAGGACAGGATGTTTGACTTAAACTGAAGTAAAATTTTGTGTTTTGTTTTGTTTTGTTAATCCTCATCCGAGGACAATTTTCCATTGATTTTTAGAGAGTGGAAGGGAGAGAGAGAGACAGAGAGAGAGAAACATCAAAGTGAGAGAGACACATGGATTGGTTGCCTCCTGAATGCGCTCAGACCAGGGCTGGGGATAGAGCCTGCAACCAAGGTACATGCCCTTGACCCGAATCAAACCCAGGACCCTTCAGTCTGCGAGCTGATGCTCCATCTACTGAGCCTAACCGGCAGGGCCAAATTTGAATATGGGTAACTGTAAGAGTGTATGCCCCCCTTTGGAGGGTAGATGTATACTAAAGTCTGCAGCACCCTTCTTAGAGTCACTTAGAATAGGCGCCTCTCTACAAGCTATCTGTTCCCCGTTACTCATTGTTTTTGTCCAGGAGTGATTTGATCAACAGGAAGATAGCCCCACTTTGTTGTTAGAGGCTGTTTTCTGTGTTTCTGTGTCATCCGCATCTCCTGGGAGCCAAGCTTGGGGGGCAGCTAGAGCCTGGGCAGCTCTTTTGTCCTGTTGCTGAGGTGTCCTCTGTCTGCCAGGTAAAGCGGTACCAGTGCACCTTCGAGGGCTGTCCCCGCACCTACAGCACAGCAGGCAACCTGCGCACCCACCAGAAGACTCACCGAGGAGAGTACACCTTTGTCTGTAACCAGGAGGGCTGCGGCAAGGCCTTCCTCACCTCCTACAGCCTCAGGATCCACGTGCGAGTGCACACGAAGGAGAAGCCATTTGAGTGCGACGTGCAGGGCTGTGAGAAGGCGTTCAACACGCTGTACAGGTCAGCTTTCCTCCCGCTGCGCCGCCAGCTCTACCCTCGCTGTCACCATTGCACAGCCCTCCTCGCACAGCAGACTTCCCTTTCCGGGATTTAAAGGTTGCCTGAAAAGGATGGTACATTTGTGTTTAGATTTTATTTCTCCTGTAGTGCCATCCTGGCCCCGGGGATTTGAGTATTTGGCATAGAGTGCTATCTCCCTTGGCTCAGAACCTTGGTACTAAGGCTTCTGTCATTTTCACTCCTCTCTCACTTTGAGGAAGCGTACTTTCTGTCTAGCCTGAGAAATGGGGAGTGGTCCGCTTATTAGCCCTTTCCCTTTTCCACCACTGGTATCAGGAGACTTACTAGTCTTCAACATTGAGTGTAAAATAACAAACATAACAAGAGCTGACATTTCTAAGGCGCCCACTGTGTGCAGGGCACTGTTCTGAGTGCTAATCCTCACAGCACTAATAAGTAAATGGAAGCCCAGCAAGGTAACTGGCTTAGGGTCTCGTAGGAGGTGGGACCAGGATTTGAGTCCCAGGCTCCAGAGTCACGCTCATACCACTATGCTATATACTTCTCATTGAGCAAAACGTTTTGGAATATAGAATTCTGATGCACTTAATCCTTTTTTTACTATTTTAAAAACATTTTTTTTTAAAAAGGAAACATGCAATACTCTTTGTAATACTTTAAGCAATTAAAAAAAATTTTTTAATCTTATCAAGGTTATACATTCTCAATGTTTACAAAGTAGATAGCTCTAATAGGTTTGTTACAAAACATGTACCTCCCCATTTCTCCCCCTTCACAGCAACCACTTTCTACTCTTTTAGCTTAATATTAATATTTTTTAAAATATATTTATTTATTTTTTTAATGTGATTATATCTTTTTTATAAAATATATTTTATTGATTTTTTACAGAGAGGAGGGGAGAGGGATAAAGAGTTAGAAACATCAATGAGAGAGAAACATCGATCAGCTGCCTCTTGCACGCCCCCTCCTGGGGATATTCCCCCAACCAAGGTACATGCCCTTGACCGGAATCGAACCTGGGACCCTTGAGTCCACAGGCCGACGCTCTATCCACTGAGCCAAACCGATTAGGGCTATATTAATATTTTTATATTTACTTCCATGCTTTTAAATATTTGGCTCATATTGCTCCTTCTTGATTTTTCCACTTTAGGATATTGACTTCCCACTATTGAAGTTAAGGATTAAGCTCTATTTCTTCCCCTCTCCCCTGCCGCCATCTTCATCACACTTGACCCTTCCCCAAAGCCCATTCTCCCAATGTTATTATTTTATTTCCAGTATGTATTATTTTTTATTAAATCAGTATTCAGTATTTACTTAGCCGTAAATGAAATTACTTCTCTCATAAAAGATCTTACTTGCCGTAGGCTTGTGCACTTGACCCTGGAGGCTGTTAGCTGTGTGGGCAGCTCTGTAATACTTCATGACAAAGGGCCTTTCTCTGGGCTATCTTACAGGCTGAAAGCACATCAGAGGCTTCACACAGGGAAAACGTTTAACTGTGAATCTGAAGGCTGCAGCAAGTACTTCACCACACTCAGCGATCTGAGGAAGCACATTCGAACCCATACAGGAGAAAAGCCATTTCGGTAGGTCTTACTGTTTTCTGTTTGTCACTGGTCAGGTTCCGGCTGGGTATGTTGATGCACTCTAAAACTTTTTTATGGAAAGAAACTTCCTGTCACTAGTCCTTTGGCAGTGCTCGCTCTCCCCAGGATGGCTATGCCCAGTTACTGCCGACGGGAGGGAGGGTAATGAATTCCACGGGCACCCTCACTCTGGATGATGGCTTCCTGCCTCATTCTTCCTTTTATTTTGCAAAACATTTGTTGCAACTCACTTATGTGGTAGGATTTTTATCAGTGCCAGAGAAATGCTATGATACAGGTTCTCCTCTTGAGAAATTTAGCCTGGTAACAAAGAACCACAGGCAGCCAGACAGCATCTGAGACTGAGATGCCCAGAGTGCTTTGGGCACAGGGGAAGGGATACTTACCCGAGACTCGGTGGGAAGAGTAGGAGACAAAAGGGGAAAGACGGGATAAGACTACTTAGGCTAGTGGTGCAAGTGTTTTATTTTTTACTTGTTTAGTGGTTTCTTCAGCATCTCTCATGTGTACACAAACAGGAGCATCCATTTTTATCTATATACTAGAGGCCCGGTGCACAAAAATTTGTGCACTCGGGGGGGGGGGGGGACGGGGGGCGGGGGGTCCCCTCAGCCCGGCCTGTGCCCTCTCGCAGTCTGGGACCCCTCGGGAGATAACGACCTGCTGGCTTAGGCCTGCTCCCAGGTGGCAGAGGGCAGGCCCAATCCCTAGGTGCAGCCCCTGGTCAGGCTCCAGAGCAGGGCCGATTGGGGAGTTGGGGCGCTGCCCCCTGTGATGCACAGAGCAGGGCGGATCGGGAGGTTGCGATGCCACCCTCAGTCACGCTCAGGGTAGGGCCGATTGGGGGGTTGGGGCACCGCCCCCTGTCACACTCAAGGCAGGGTCGATGGGGAGGTTGCAGTGCCACCCCCTGTCACGCACAGAGCAGGGCCAGTCAGGGGGGTTGGGGCTCCGTACCCTGTCACGCACAGAGCAGGGCCCATCAGGGGGTTGGGGAGCTCCCCGCTGTCACGCACAGAGCAGGGCCGATCAGGGGGTTGAGGAGTTCACCCCTGTCACTCACAGAGTAGGGCCAATAGGGGAGTTGGGGCACCGCCCCCTGTCACACACAGAGCAGGGAGGACCAGGGGGTTGGGGCGCCGCACCGTCACACTCAGGGCAGGGCCGATGGGGAGGTTATGGCTCTACCCCGTCAACACAGAGCAGGGTCCGTGGGGGGCGGTTGGGACGCCGCACCCTGTCACAACAGAGCAGGGCCGATCAGGGGGTTGGGGCGCCGCACCCTGTCACACACAGGGCAGGGCCAATGGGGAGGTTATGGCTCTACCCCATCACACACAGAGCAGGGTCCGTGGCAGGGGGGTTAGGGCTCCGCACCCTGTCACACACAGAGCAGGGCCGATCAGGGGGTTGGGGCGCCGCACTCTGTCACACACAGAGCCGCAGGGCGATCAGGGGGTTGGGGAGCTCCCCCCTATCAGGCACAGAGCAGGGCTGATCAAGGGGTTGGGGTGCCTTCCCCTGTCACGAACAGAGCAGGGCGGATAGGGAGGTTGTAGCCCGCCCCCTGTCACACACAGAGCCGCAGGGCGATCAGGGGGTTTGGGCACTGCCCCCTGTCACGCTGATCCCGGTGCCGGGAGGCCTCTCAACTCCACTGATCCCGGTGCTGGGAGGCATATTACCCTTTTACTGTATAGGATAGAGGTGCATGGGTGGGGGCCAGCTGGTTTGTCCTGAAGGGTGTCCTGGATCAGGGTGGGGGTCCCCACTGGGGTGCCTGGCCAGCCTGGGTGAGGGGCTGAGGGCTGCTTTCAGACTGGCGGTTGACTGAAGCTCCCAACCGCTCCTTTTTTTCTTTTTATTCTGGGCCAGCTTTAGCTCTGAGGCTTGGCTCCAGCTCTTAGGCCTTGGCTGCTGAAAGCAGGTATCTGGTTTGTTTGGGTTCTATAATTGAAACACTGTTTCAACTCCAGCTCTGAGATCCCGGCTGGCTGAAAGCAGGTTTCTGGGGTTTTGTTTAGCTTCTACATTTGTAGCAATGTTTCAAACTGCAAGCTCAGAGGCCGGCAGCGGCAGGCAGGGAACGTTGGAGTCCTCCGTCACTGAAGCAAGCAAGCCTCATGTTCGCTTCAAGCTGCCTGGCTGCCGGCCGCCATCTTGGCTGGCAGTTAATTTGCATATCGCCCTTATTAGCCAATGGGAAGGGTAGCAGATGTATGGCTAATTACCATGTTTCTCTTTTATTAGATAGGATATTTAAATTTATGTATTTATACACATTTATATTTAATAGATAGAAGTATAAATGTTGAAGCTTAAAGGAAAGACTTGTATCACCTTTCTCCTGTGTTCATATCATGTAGCATGGTTCTGGGCATTCAGTAGGAATTCAAAAACAACTTAGGGATGATTATGTGACTTTTTAGTGAGATAATCAGTTCATAAGGATTCCCCCTAAATATAATAGAGATGAAAATTGCACATAAACAATGGCTTTGACTTGTCAGGAAAGATTGCTGTTATTGTCATACCTTTCCCTTCTTGAATCACCCATCTCCTCATTAGGATAGCAGGAAATTGAAAAGTCTTCAGGGACAGTCAACTCTTACACAGCAGTTAAAAGTAATTGAATTTTAAAATGACAGCTGCTTTTCTGAGTCAGGCCCCTCTAAAGCAAGAGTATTTAGAGTCTCCTTGGTCACCCTCCAGATGCTGTGACAGGTAAGGCACCTCTTTCCCTGAGGGCTGTTGAGGGGACTCCGATTTCTGTTCAGTCATATGCATTTTTTGCGATGTTAATATTGCTAACTTTTCTTGAATATTAGGTAGGACTTGAGACGATGATACGTAGTTAGAAAGTAAAATGCTTTAGAGAAGCTTTCTATTTAAAGAAATATTTTGGCTTCCAAGAAAATACATTCATCCATATAAATAGTTATCGAATGTCTGCTGTGTGCAAGAGTTACAGCCAGTGTCAAGAACTGCATGGACCCTGCCCTCAAAGAGTTTACAGTCTAGGGGGACAGATAACGAATGTGTACACAGGAGATAAAACAAGATTAGAAATGACAGGCGCCATAAAAGAAACTAAACCCATAGGAGGGAAAGATTACTTCTGGCTTTGGTTATCAAGATAGTAAAGGAAGAAGTAGATCTGATGTAAACAGAAGATAATAGATAATGATTTCATTCTAGTGCTATGTTTCAGGCTCCATGCCTTTGAGAGCCCCTGTGCCCATTGTTGGTATTTCTAATCCTGCACTGGCAGTAGGTTTCCCAATGGGCTCTCATTGTCAATAGAATACTGTTAAGTAGTTCATCAAAAGGCGTTTCTTGTCAGTGCTCTCAATAAGTGCCTTTTCTGTAGCACAAGAAATACTTATCCTGCGCCATCAGCTCCCTCGGATCTCAGATTTGTCACCTTTCTTTTCCAGGGACTTGTCATTCCAAGTCTAAATCCAATTTTGTTGACGTGATCTTGCTGTTCTGAACATTTTAGTTTGAGTCTGTATTTACGAGAGATGTGAAGATAAAGGTCTATTAGCTGATGACTGCTGTTTCTTTTTGCTTAAACCACGTATTTAGGTGTGATCATGATGGCTGTGGAAAAGCATTTGCAGCAAGCCACCACCTTAAAACTCACGTCCGTACACATACTGGTGAGTTTAAGTTCATTTTTATTTTCCTCTTCAGAGAGCCAGTAAATACCGATGTTTCTGTTGAGACCTGTAGAGCTCTGTGGAGGGAGGGAGCCTTATCAGCTTAGCCTTCCACCTATGATGTTTGACTTTCTTTCAGAGGTAAAAGGATCTAAAGGTTGGACTCAGGAATCCAAACTTAAGAAATGAAAACAGTACCAGGATACTCAATAAAAGAACCTGGGGGGAAAGTAATCTCTTTAAACTTCCCCCGAGCAGGCTCTTCTCCGTGCTTTGCTCTACATTGAGTTTTAGGATTAAGATGGTTAACATTTAATTTAGCTAATGTGTAACAGCTGGTAACCTGAACCCTCATAAGAATACTTCCCTCTTTTAGGGAATAGTAGGTGTCTTAACTCAGTGAAACGACTTCATGGTCAAATTAACACTACTTGTCATTCTTGCAGGTGAACGACCCTTTTTCTGCCCCAGTAACGGCTGTGAGAAAACATTCAGCACTCAGTACAGTCTCAAAAGTCACATGAAAGGTCACGATAACAAAGGACACTTATACAATGCACTTCCAACTCACAACGGATCAGAGGTGTGCAGTGTTTTCTCTCTGGCTTTGAACTGGGCACCACAGAACAGCAACCATTGTTTGTGTATCAAAATAAAAGGTCAAAACATCATCTCTGTGTATCTGTTAGTGAGAGGGAAGAAATCAGGGCCAAGCTCTATGTCTTGGGGATGGGGTGGTAGAAGCCAGAAATCTCAGCAGACTTGGTGCTTCAGCCCTTGATTCAGCTCCCCCTCCTGTGTATGGGAAGAGGTCTTGAAACCCGAGGTCTAGAATGGCTTCCAGAGGGCCATCCAGATGCTCCAAAAGCGTGTATTTTCCCGTGCATATCTGCAAAATGGTGTATCTGTACTTGGGTTTGGAACACAAATTAATACCTTACCTCACACATCCATTAATCTGTCATTGGAGAGCCAGGAAGAGGCTGGGGGGTCCCTTGCCCTTCTGAATTGTCTGCAGACCAAAAGGTTTGACAATCACCAGTTTAAGGCACTAACCCACAGAACAGGCCTCTGCAAAGTTTTAGGCAATTTTGTCTAGTCTTTGACAAGTTCCTCCACCGTATTTCCCTCTCCCAGCTCATTCCAAGAGACCCTAGGGTGAATTTCCTGTTCCTGCTGGTAATGTGGCATTGGGTACTTACCATATGTCTTTTAAACCTAGGAAGTGAGTGCTATTATTGTCTTACTACTTCATAGTTAAAGAAGCAAACTGACCCCCTTTTGGATAATGAGGTTCTTAAAGTGTATAATATGATTTTGATTTGGGGAGAGACAGCATACTTTAATTCTGTGGTTTGCAACTTCTAAACAACAGAGGATCCCTTTAAACGGACTCTCTCCCTGTGTTTTATTAGCAATAATAACACTGATTGTTTGCTGTGTGCCAGATACTGTGCTAAGTGCTTTTTTATGTTTTCTCTCACATGAGCTCTGTGAGATCAGTCCTGTTGTTATCCCCATATACTGATAAAGAAACTAGAGGCAAAGAGAAATGACTTGCCTAAGGATCCAGAGCTTGTAATTAGACTTATTATTCCAGAACCTGGTTCCCGATCCCTATGTTGTAAGAGGCAAAACTGCATGTGTTGTGAAGACTGCAGCTCTGGAGCTCAGCTCTCTGAATTCAGATCTAAGCTCAGCCACTAATCGGATGACCTTAGGCAAATGGCTTCTTTGTGCCTTGGTTTCTTCTGTAAAACCAGATATAAATGTTAAGATTTGAGAGCCTTTGTCTGCTAAGCTGCATTTATGAGGTCATGATCAGTTTTCCGACTTTGGTAGCAATCCAGGGATAGTTTAACTGTTGACCACCTGTATGCACCGGAGGCCCAGTGCACAGTGCTCGGACCTCTTCTCTGGATCACTCAGCACTGTCCAGTGGAAGGAGTCTCCTCCAGCCCCAGGCTTTAAATGCCATCTTTGAGTCCTAGATTCATATTCAGCCTGGATCTCTCTGAACTCTAGACTTGTCCATTCAACCTCTCACTTGTCATCTCCACCCAGATATCATCGGCTCTTCTCCAACTTGGCATGCACAAACCTGTTCCTCCTGCAGGTTTCCCATCTTAGTAAGTGGCACCTATTTCTCTACTGGCACGGGCCAGAAATCTTGGAGTTGTTTTATTTCTCTCATACTTCACATTTACTAGCAAAGCCCATTAGCATTACCTTGAAAACATATCTAGAATCTGATCACTCTTTCTGGGTACCTCATTCAAACCACTCTCCTCTTTTGCCTGGATTATTGCAGTCACCTGCTGAGTGGTCCTCTTGGCACTCCCACTCTGCCCTGGCACACACTTTTCTACATGTCACCGAGAATGATCTTTCTAAACCATGGGCAGGTAATGTCTGTCCTCTCCTCAGAACTCTCCAGTAGTTCCTTGTGTCGCTTAAAGTCAAAATTTTTACAGTGTGTTACAAGGCCCTACACTCTGGCATCGTCACTTCTCTGACCTAATTTACATCTCTTCCTCTCGCTTCAGCCATGCTGTCCTCCTGTGGTTCTTTGAACCAGGGAAGCTCACGCCTGCCTCCAGGCCTTTGTACTTGCTGTATCCTCTGCTTGGTACACTTTTCCCACTTATGCCCTCTTTCCTTCAGTATCTGCTCAAATGCCACCTTATCTAAGAGGCCTTTCCTATTCTAATAAAAGGGAAGCTCCTATCCCAGCATTCCCTATTCCCTTACCCTCTCTAGTGTTTATTATCATCTTATATACAAATATATTTATTTGCTTGTCCCCTCCCCATACTCTAAACTCCTGCTACAATATAAGCTGTATAGTTGCAGAGACTTGCTTTTGTTCATTATTGTATCCCTGGGCCTGGAACAGTGCCTAATGCATAGTAGATGCTCAGTGAGTATTTGTTGAATGCATGCATGAATGGCAACATCTAATCCATTAGGTAAGCAGGGTTACCACAAAGTCTGTGGACTGATACTGGCATTCTAGAAACCCAGAGTTCAGAGTTGGCCTAGGCAGCCGTATTTTAATAGTCAATCCTCAGTAACGTTCTGAAGAAGGACCCCTGAGATGCCCATATTGAGGACACTGTGAGGTAATGGAAGGAAGAAGGACTTTCTGTTAGAAGCACTGGGTTTCTGTTCTGTGAATTAGCTGCGTGATTTTGGACAGTTCACTGCCACTCCCCATTAATTTTCTCATTTCAAATGGAAATGTAAAATAACACTTCAAAGTTTTATATGAATAGCAAATGAGGTTATGTGAAATCACTTTGTAAATGATAAGACTAATTATACAAATACTGTTAATTTCATATTACCATGACTTGTTATTCTAGAGCAGCGATGGCGAACCTATGACACGCGTGTCAGAGGTGACACGCAAACTCATTTTTTTGGTGATTTTTCTTTGTTAAATGGCATTTAAACATATAAAATAAATATCAAAAATATAAATCTTTGTTTTATTATGGTTGCAAATATCAAAAAATTTCTATATGTGACACGGCACCAGAGTTAAGTTAGGGTTTTTCAAAATGCTGACACGCCAGGCTCAAAAGGTTCGCCATCACTGGTCTAGAGCCTTAGTTGGGAGATAATTCTTAAACTCTTTACTAATCATCTTTAAGAAATGTAACTGATTCTTCTAAGAATATCAGGATTTTAAAAAGTGAAGTAATTCACATGGTTCTTGTTTAGATGGTTTACATCTAGACATTTGGGGCATTGTAATCAGGTGTTTTATTACATGATATGCTACTATAAATCCTGATTTTTATGGGGGTACTCAGTAAGAATTTTTTCTCTTTCACAGGATGCAAATCACTCGCTTTGTCTGAGTGACTTGAGTCTTCTGTCCACAGATTCTGAATTTCGAGAAAATTCCAATACAGTAAGTATACCTGTAATATGGGTACTAGAAAAATAAGTGCAAGAATTGAGCACTCAATTTGGTGGGGAAATTGAGGGAGACCAGTTTTTGAAGTCTTCCAAATGTAGTTGTGTTCAGTTACTTACTATTCAATGCAATAGGAACAGAGACTAAATGACTATTTAAGGGTTAGGGTTTTCTGATTTTATTTCTGTTTTTTTTAATACAAGCTTTCATAGAGAGGTTGTTCTTTCTGATGCCTAATGCCTTTTGATCCAGACCACTCACTTGATAACGTCCTGGCCCCCAAATATTTCTTTCTTTATTCATTGAGCAATTATTTATCAGGTGCCTACTCCATCAGGCAGTGTACTGGTGCTGAGCTTGTAGTGGTAAAAATGTAGGTGTGGTTTGTCCTTGAGGAGCTTAAAATTAGTCCCCTATAAGGGGGAATCTGAATTCCAGTCTCCAGATTTTCTGAAACCCCGCCGGTCTGATCTGAGTCAGTCTTTTCCTTTCTTTGAGCTCCCCACATCGGGGTGTTTAAGGCAACCTCCTCTTTGGGCCCCCAGCTAAAGGACAACCTGCTATCCAGTTCACTCTGTTTGGAATTTCCCCTCCTTTCCCGTGGCCCCGTGATGGGCCTTGCAACTGCTGCATTAAGCCGAGCTCGTGCTGCTCCGTGAGTGTGCTGTACTGCCACCGGCACCGGTTGTTAGTGTGCAGTTTTTGTTGTTTTTCTTTGCTAACTAAATATAGCTTAGGTTAGAGTTTCTGGTTATATACATGATATAAATAAGAAGGAATCAGTGCGATAGGAACAGAGACTAAATGACTCAGGAATGCTGTGAAAAAGTATTTCTCAAAGTGGAGTCATCTGCAGCACTTCTGCCAGTGTAGGTTCTTGCTGCCACCCCAGCATTCCCCATTCCCTTACTTGCCCCAAGTCCCTGGGAGTGGCACCTGACGCTGCGTTTTTATGTAAGCACCCCAAGGCCTGGGTCTGGTCATGGCAGAGTCGCTCTTACCAGACCAACTCTGATAAGAAAACGAGATAGCCCCACCAGTGTGGCTCAGTGGCTGAATGTCAGCCTATGAACCAGGAGGTCATGGCTTAATTTCTGATCAGGGCACATGCCTGGGTTACAGGCTCCATCCCCAGTAGAGGGAGTGCAGGAGGCAGCCGATCAATGATTCCCTCTCATCATTGATATTTCTATCTCTCCCTCTCCCTTCCTCTCTGAAATCAATAAAAATACGTATATATTTTTAAAAAGATAACTATATATGTGGACAAAATATAAAAAACAACCACTCAAAGGCACCAGAAAGCAACCCAAATAGGCAGAGGTAACACTTGGAAGAAGGGGCCACCTGAAAGATAGCAAAGGCACTTGGCTGGGTTTTCAGGCTTTTTGGCTTATCAGGGCCGGCTTGGTTGACACCAAACAAGGTGGCCAAAACTCAGTAAACACTCAGTGCTGCTGGCATGATAATCCAGAGGGCAGAGGTCAGGGCTACCAAAGCGCCTAGAAAATGAGGGGGCATTGCCTAGAAAGGAGAGAATCACAAAGGGGAGCCCCAAGTTCTTTGTGTAAACTGTGTCCAGATCTCTAGTTGACTGTTGAACTATGTCTGTGTGAGGCAGACTCTAAGCAGCGCAGCTAAGGCTAAAGAAGTGGGCAAAGATTGCAGCTGCTGTCCACTGCAGGGAAGACAGAGTGTGAAGCTGGAGGACAGCCCAGTCGATGAAATCTTAAAGCAAACACTCTTCCAAGTGTCACAGAATCCGGAGTCTTTCTATAACATGTTATTTGCAATGTACAGTGTAATCCAGAATTAGTAAACCTGAAAAGAAACAGAAAACTTCTATCCTTATGCAAGAGGAAAAATAATCCTATGGAGACCCACCTCAAGATGAACCAGATGTTATACTTGGTGACAAGGATTTTTTTTTTTTAAATTCTCACGAGGATGTGTTTTACTGATTTTTAGAAAGAAAAGAAGGGAGAGGGAGAGAGAAACATCTATGTATGAGAGAGACATTGATCGGTTGCCTCTGTATGCCCTCCCACTGGGGATCAAACCCGTGACCTAGGTATGTGCCCTGGCTGGGAATCAAACCCGCAATCTTGCAGGCACGGACAATGTTCCAACCAACTGAGCCACACCAGCAGGGCTGCAGACAAGGATTTTTAAGTAGCTCCAACGAATATGCTTATAATGATTGAATATATAGGAAATCTCAGCAGAGAAATAGACTTTTAAAAATGTACCAACTGGAAATTCTGGAACTGAAAATTTATGTGAAATAAAATATTCACTTGGATGAGCTTAGCAGCAGATTGGAAATGACAGAAGAAAGAATCAGTTAAGTTGAAAATAGGTCAGTAGAAATTAACCAATCGGAAGGAAAAAACAAACCACAGTAAATAAGCACTTCATATGATTTTTATGCATATTCATATTTCAGAACTAATGCTCTAAAAGAAATGTCTGTATTGGGTAGCCTGGTTGACCTCTGAGCTGTGCAGCCTAAGATTTCTGGTTATAATAGCTCTTTAATCTCAGATTGTTAAATAGTTTAGGGATTTACTCCTGGCTAGGGCTGTGACAAATGATTGAGGAGCTTTCTGGAGCCCTGGGGTCACCAGTTGAAGAACATTGTATAGTAAGGATAAGCTTCTATTTCTTAGACTTTCATTTCAGTTATACACATGGATATGTATATAATGTGAAACATATATGTATATGTACTCGATAATGTAAAATGTACTACTTTGTATCACAATGAAAACTTTGAGGGCCACTGTCTTGCCTGCGATTCTCAACCTGCTGTGGATGGAAGCTGGAAGCCTCACATAGATTTCTGCCTTCATCTCTGTCATCCTGGCAATCCGATCCACTGAACTTCCCCTCTCAGCCTTCCCGATGGTGGAGTAATGCTAGAGCAGTGGTTCTCAACCTTCTGGCCCAACCATAAAATAATTTTTGTTGCTACTTCATAACTGTAATGTTGCTACTGTTATGAATCATAATGTAAATATCTGATATGCAGGATGGTCTTAGGCGACCCCTGTGAAAGGATCGTTCGACCACCAAAGGGGTCGCGACCCACAGGTTGAGAACCGCTGTGCTAGAGTAATTGGCCTCTCTTGGCTCAAAAAGGCAGTTTCCTCTCTGAGGACCTCTAGAGGGTGGACTGTTCTGCTCAGCACACTTTGCCCAGCCCCAGAGCTATTCTCCCCCCACAAGCAGAGTTGTTGCAGAATGGCCTTAAAGTACAAGTTGGCACTGGGGCCAAATCTGGCCTGCAGATAGGTTTTGTGTGGTTTATACAGTGTTTTTAAATGGATTTCAGTTACTTGCTTTTAATGACAAGTCAGTAGACTTCACCAAATGATCCAAATTTGGGACTCTGCTTGAGCTCTGGTATTCCCCAGCCCGCAGAACCGCGTGGCAGGATTCCACTGAAGCCCAGGTGATGGGGTGCGTGCTCTCTGTCCCAGCCTCCCGGCCCTTGCCCCTCGCTTCACTTATTTCTAGGACTTGTCTAGACTCTTGGAGGTTGCTTTTGTCACTCTTGTCCTACAGAATGAATGAGTGGAGGTGGGTTGCGGATAAAAGAATTGGTGTTTTCCCCTTCCCTTAACTAACAGGAAGCCTGGAGGTGGTCATTTTATTTTATTTTTTAAATATATTTTTATTGCTTTCAGAGAGGAAGGGAGAGGAAGAGAGAGATAAAAACATCAATGATGAGAGAGAATCATTGATCTGCTGCCTCCTGCACATGCCTGCAACCCGAGCATGTGCCCTTGACCAGAATTGAACCCAGGACCCTTCGGTCCACAGGCTGACACTCTATCCACTGAGCTAGGGCAAGGTGGTCATTTTATTTAGTGCTTGTCAAGACTCAGGTCCTCAGAGTAATATGTGTTTGTTTATTTCACATTTTATCTTTACAAATGCTTCTGACCTTATTTGTAAGTTACAAAGAATCAATGTAATGACAAGAAAATGGTGCATAAAAAGGATCACTATTGCCTGTCATTCAAAGTTCTTTACAGTGGTTGATTCATTACCAGGTATACATATTAGAATATTATAGATGTTATGTAATGACCTTGAAAGTTATTAACAAAATATTACATGAGAAAAACAAGTTGCAGGTAATGGGTATTATTCAATCCCATTTTTATGTAGGATTTGGTCTCTTGGAGTATGGGTCAGCACACTTTTTTTGTAAAGGGCCAGATAGTAAATATATTAGACTTTGTAGAGCACACGATCTCGTCACAACTCCTCAGCTCTGCTGTTGTAGCTGAACAATAAATGAACAAGCCTGCCTGTGTTCCAGGAAAGCATTATGGAAACAGGCATTCAGCTGCTAGTCAGCTTATCAGGTTCTGTTTTAGAGTATTTGAGGGCCCAGTGTTGCGTGTCTGAGGTTTAGGGACATAAATGTCACTTGAGAAGGAAAAGTTAGAAACAAGAAGCACCTCAGAAGATCAGGTGGTTCTGCTGCTCTGTGTCCTCTCATTGCGAAGAATTGCCTCCGATGCGGGTCTCACATCCTTCTCTTTGTCTATCAGACACAGGGCCAGGACCTCAGCACACTTTCACCAGCAACCATCTTTAAGTCCATGTTCCAGAATTCAGATGATACGGCCATTCAGGAAGATCCTCAGCAGACAGGTTTGTTACACAGTCTCTTCCTGCCCAGATCTCAGCACTGGGAAGGGGATTCACACGTTGACTCTGAATGACAGGCATGTGAAAGATCACTTCAGTTTCTTTGAATGAAGTGACTTTCAGTGAGGGGTTAGAAAAGTAAGGGCCTTTCAGTTCAATTCCATCTTTTCCCTACTTCCCTCAGCAAGGGTCTCCTTGAGGGTCTGCTTTTCCCTAGACCAGCCGTGGGCAAACTACGGCCCGCGGAGCCGAAAGAGCGGAGGGTTCTCTTGCTCTCCCCTCCGCTCCTCCACCAGCAGCAGTGTTAACATGTATTAGTTCACACAAACACTCCATCCATGCTTTTGTTCCGGCCCTCCGGTCCAGTTTAAGAACCCATTGTGGCCCTCGAGTCAAAAAGTTTGCCCACCCCTGCTAGACCTTCAAAGAGGAGGGTCTCCTTTTCCAAAAGCTCTTGTTGGCTTTAAAAAATGAGAGGAACTGTGAGCTCTTCTGATGTGACACCCATTTGTGAGAGGGTAGGATCCACCGGCTTAGCTCAGACTGTTCGAATGAGAATCTCCCTGAAGCCTCAGTTGTCAGAAAGCGTGCACACTGGTCATGCCAGAAAGGATGTCGAGCCCCATTTGAAGAAAAGCCTTACAACGCGTTTTTTTAAGCTAAGACCTATACTAGGTCTTCACATTTAGAAAGTGAGGGTGATTGTGAAGCCTGGTTCTTGGACCAGAGGTGCCATTAAATGAAAAGCAGAAAGCCAGCCTGCTAGCAATGAAGGAATTGGCTCCAACAGACTCCAGCTGTCTTTGGTTTAGCTCATAGTGACTGTGTTTTTGTGGCTCATCGAAGGCTTGGGATATGTATATATGTTTCTATTTCTTTTTTTTGCCAGCTGCCTTGATTGAAAGTTTTAATGGTGATGCAGAGTCAGTCAATGATGTTCCGCCACCCACAGGAAATTCAGCATCTTTATCTCTTCCACTTGTACTGCAGCCTGGCATCTCCGAGCCACCCCAGCCTCTACTACCAGCCTCAGCACCGCCTGCTCCTCCGCCTGCTCCCTCCTTAGGACCTGGTTCCCAGCAAGCTGCATTTGGCAACCCCCCTGCTCTCTTACAACCTCCAGAAGTGCCTGTCCCCCACAGCACACAGTTTGCTGCTAATCATCAAGAGTTTCTTCCGCACCCTCAGGCACCGCAGCCCGTCGTACCAGGACTTTCTGTTGTTGCTGGGGCCTCTGCGTCAGCAGCGGCAGTGACGTCAGCCGTGGCAGCAGCGCCCCAACCACAAAGTACTACTGAACCCCTGCCAGCCATGGTCCAGACTCTACCCCTGGGTGCCAACTCTGTCCTAACTAATAATCCCACTATAACCATCACCCCGACGCCCAGCACGGCTATCCTGCAGTCCAGCCTCGTCATGGGAGAACAGAACTTACAGTGGATATTGAATGGTGCCACCAGTTCACCACAAAACCAAGAACAAATGGTAAGTATTATGTATAAGCAGGTCCAGTGGGGTGAAGTGTCCTTACATAGGGGACATGTTCAGAGGCTTTTGTTCAAAAAAGGAAAATGGCTGTCAGGCTCTGAAACGTGTAATTGTGTCTCTCGGTCACTTTTCCCAGAATCAGGTGGTGTAAACCCAGGGAATGCTGTGGTTGGTACCTACAGTAGGGCGGCAGAGAATCAGGCTTACATTTCCCGAGCAGTGAGCACTTGAACAAATATTCCACCTGCAGCCTAATCCCGTCATCTAGGACAGGCGCGCAGTCGGCTAACTCCGGAGGCCCAAGAGCGGTTCAGGAAGCGCCTTCTGTCTCCAGGGCAGTCACACTGAGGGGAGGGACTGATACCGCCCCATCAGATGCACGTCAGAGAAATCTCTGCTCCAGAGCCCACTTAGAGCTATTTTCTGCTATTTGGTCTTGATGATAAGGAAATGACTTCATTGTTCAATTAAATATCTCAAACAAACTATTTAGGGCTAAATAGTGAGCATTCAAATTCCATAAACGGGGTGCCAGCCACCTCTCGAGGCAACCAAGTTCCATTTTTCAATGGAAAGGTCTTTTCAATGTTACGACCCAATCTGCTTCCATGTGGTTTTTATCATTTCTTTCTGAATCTGCCCGGGGGAGCTGCATGGAACAAGTGTCGTCATTCCTTTTCCACACAACTCATTTTCATGTATTTAAATATGGGTCTTATTTTTCCATCATTATTTTACAGAGTCACCTATAACTTAGCCAGAAGCTTTCACAGTCCTAGATTTTCTTTATTTCCTTAGAGCAGCGGTTCTCAACCTGTGAGTCGCGACCCCTTTGGGGGTCGAACGACCCTTTCACAGGGGTCGCCTAAGACCATTGGAAAACACATATATAAATACATATTGTTTTCGTGATTAATCACTATGCTTTAATTATGTTCAGTTTGTAACCATGAAATTGGGGGTCACCACAACATCGAGGAACTGTATTAAAGGGTCGCAGCATTAGGAAGGTTGAGAACCACTGCCTTAGAGGGATAAAAGACAAAGCCCTAGATCGAGAGACAAATGGCAGGGGGCGGGGGTTAAAGATCAACCGAAGGACTTGTATGTATGCATATTAGCATAACCAATGGACACAGACACTAGGGCGGTGGGGGCTTGCCCTCGGGGTGGGAGTGATGGGGGGAGCGGGGAGGTTGGGGAGTCAATGGAGGGAAAAAGGTGACATGTAAAACTTTAAACAATAATAAAAAAAAGACAAAGCCCTTTGAAGTTAAGACTTGAAGATAGTTTAATAGGAAGTGTACTGAAGTGATTAGGGTGATTTCTGGGCACGACTTTATAATCCTACTTAGTAGTAACGTAAGTAGCTAATGTTTGCCGAGTGCTCGCCACGCCACGTGCCTGGGACTCTACATGCATCCTCTCATTACACCCTCGCTGGGGTTCTTTGGTTATCATCCCCATTGTCACGGGTGGGGAAACAGACTGTCAGAGGTTGACTCACTTGCCTGACCTTAACAACTGCTCAGCAGCAGTTAGGGCTGGAATCGGGCGTGGCAGAGTGCAGGGCCCACCGGTGAGCAGCTGCCCTGTGCTCAGGGCCTTCACGGGGCTGTTCTGCATGCATCTTAATCCTGGAGGGGAAAAGAACTTCCCAGCCTCTTAGAAGTGTTGGGGGATGGCAGAGAGTGGAGAGCTCAGAGGGGAAGCCAGCCCTGGGGCTCCCTCTGAGAACATCATCCGCTGGAGAACAGCAACCTTGGAGGAGCCTTTGGGCACATGGAACCACTGGATTAGGCAGCTGGGAGGCAGCCTGGAGGACAAAGCTGGCTACATTGTCCACACTGAACATCAAACAGTGGGGTGACCTCATGCCAGAGCACAAACAAAACATCTCTCAGTGCAAATCCCTCTGCACTGAGCGTTCTCTCCCTCTTGGATGACCATCACATTGGGGAGGCTTCAGCTCCTTGGAGCTCTGCCATATTCGAGTGCCATAAATGTGACTTTTTTTCTTCCAGCAGCAAGCATCTAAAGTTGAGAAGGTGTTTTTTACCACTGCGGTACCAGTAGCCAGTAGCACAGGTATGTAATTCTATGTGAGCTTTAAAAGATACTCAACTCCCTGGGCCCCTTGAGGCACAGTTTGTTGCTTTGCCCAATTTTTAAAACTTTGAAATCAAAATTGTCACATTGTATTGTTTATTTATTAGAATATCTCATATTCTTGTAACTATTGGAGGTTAGTGCACTTACGGCATTAATGCCACTTTTAACATTTTTTTTTAAACTAGTAACAGTTCTTTCCCTTTCAGATACAGCTTTTAAATGTAGCCAAAAAAAAAAAAGTTTGAATCACAATTAATGCTAAAGAGGGCAGTTGTTAATTCACTGGACTCTTTCCTAATTACAGTAATGAAGAAATAGCATCTGGGTCAGAGACTGTATAGAACTAAAAGGTCCTTTTTTTCAAACTCTATGTTATGGATTAAGAAACTGAGGCCCTGAAATATTAAATGATTCCCCCAGAGTCACAAATGAGTTTGTGGCAGAGCCAGAGCACGAGTTCTCAGGCCTCCTGGCTCCCACTCTGCTCTCCTGCCCCTTGGTCTCTAGAGCTCTTGAGACACACACAGCCCATCTGAGTTCAGAGCGTGTGCACACTAGGCTGGCTGTGTAGAAGGAGGCTTTACGGACACCCACCGTATGTCAGAGACGGCTACAAAGATGAGTGAAATGTCCTGAAGGAGCCTTGGGTAGGCGGAGTGAACAGTCCCATACAGTGTGGACAGAGGGACAAAGATGCTAGATGTGGGAGGAATCCAGGAGCTCTGCACAGTGCCAGGCAGCTGCCTTGGGCCAGCCCTAGGTGTAAGCCTGCTGGAAACACTGCCTGGAGGCATCAGAGGGGAGAGGGAGTGAGCTGGGCCTTCAGAGATAAGAAGAGTAAGTTCTCCAGAAGAACAGCCTGGGAGCTTAGGCCACGGAAAGCACCCATAGGCTCAGAGGTAAAAAAAAACACAAAAAAACCCAGAAATAAAACATGTCAGGAAAAGGGAGGCATCCACCTCCCTGGCTGGCATGGAGGGTGCAGGGGAGAGGATGGCTGGAAACAAGGCTGGAAATACGGGGCACATCTCGATGGTGTGCGTGGCATCCACCCTCTCCATCACCATTCCCGCCTCCATGGCACTCAGCCCTCACCTAGTCTAGATCCCCCTGTGCCCTGCAGCCACTTGAAGAGCAGTCTCTCTCGCCTCTCTCACAGGGAGCTCTGTACAGCAGATTGGCCTCAGTGTTCCTGTGATCATCATCAAGCAAGAAGAGGCGTGTCAGTGTCAGTGCGCATGCCGGGACTCTGCTAAGGAGCGGGCGGCTGGCAGGAGAAAGGGCTGTTCCTCCCCACCCCCTCCAGAGCCAAGCCCCCAGCCTCCTGAGGAGCCCAGCCGGAAGCTACCACCACAGACTTTCTCCTCACCCTCTGTCCCCCTGTCATCCTCCTCCGCCATCCCCTCTTCCTGTGAGCAGAGCAGACAAGCAGGGACTCCTCCAGACCCTCAGACAGAAACGTTAAGTGCCATGGATGTGTCAGAGTTTCTGTCCCTCCCGAACCTGGACACGCCGTCCAATCTGATTCCCATTGAAGCACTACTGCAGGGGGAGGAGGAGCTGGGCCTGACCAGCAGCTTCTCCAAGTGAAAGGCCACCTGTGCTCCCCTCCGGGAAGAGAGGGCGAGCAGGAAGCACACACAGGTGCGATGTCTACCATCATGGGATTGGTAATTTGAAGGATGAAGAAATCTATTTGAAATCCTCACATTTCGGATATATTTTCTTTATTCATATCCCAGGAGCATCCATTTTAAGGAACTGATCTTTGGGAGAAAAAACAACAACAAAACAACAAAAAAAGCTAAGTTATAAATGAACTGTTTGGCTGCACTGTATGTCACTTTTGCTTATTGTCATGTGAACTTGGAAATTAAGGTTACTCGTATGCATAAAAATTCCAAGTGAAAGGGTGTGTTTCCATCAATCTGATGTTGCCCATCACTTGCACTGGGGCCTTGGGGTCTGGACAGTGGAATTCAGTGTGTCAGGTGTTGCTCCTCCCTGTGCGTCTTTTGAGCCTGAGGCTGAAGCTCGCTCCAAAGGCCAGACCCTCACTCCACCAGAGGGGGAAGTGGCAAAGGCAGGTCAGACAGCTGTGAGCCGGACAGAAATTGGGTGAGGTGGTTTTGCTGTTTGCACTTGTGTCAGTGGAGCTCGGAGTGACTGTGGCAGGTGTCTGCATCCAGCTGCAGCACAGATGGGCAGCTAACAGCCTGGCCCGAAGCTGTAGGGAGGATCTGGTTCTGTGGGGCCCCGCGCGAGCTGTTTACTATCTGCCGATGGCGTGTGTGCAGAGCAGGCTCTAGCAACGTGATCACAGTCTTTGCCTTCCTGTTTCTGTCTCTCAGTTGGTTGCCAGGGTTTGCAGATCACAGCGAATTTTTCTTGGGGAACATCCCTGTTTTGTCCTAGAGTGGACATGTGGGTGTATGGCCAGTTGCTGGTCGGTGCTCTGCCTTCCTTTATGGTATTTCTCTTCCTCGGAGCAGAAGAGCTGCATTTTGCTTATCAGAAGGTGTATCGCTGAGGGAGGTTTCTTAAGGTGGCATGTAATTGGCAGGCCAGGTATCCTGGTTCCAGGTTCTAGCCAGGCTTTTGGTTGCCCCTCCCATCTCCACCTCTCACCCCTCTGGATTTTGCATACAGCCTAGTACAGTGCAAAGAAGGATGTGACTTGCTCAGCTTAGTCACTTGATTTCTAAACAAAAACAAAAAATAAACAAAAAACACAAAACGATGATCTTCTACTCAGGGTAAAACAAACAAAAAAATTCCCCTTCCACCAAAAAGCCTGAAATGTTGCAATAAGTTATCGCATTTGGAATGTTTCATTAAGTTGTGTTATAGGAAAGAAGAATTGTTTTTTGATTTGTGTATAGAATTACAACCATCTATCTGCCTTTGGCTCCAAGTCATGCCTCTAAACATAAAACATAAAATACAGCCCACACTAAAATGGAAAGTTTCTCTCAACTGGCTATATCAGTGTAGTCATAAGCACTCACCAAGCTCACTGAGCTCAGAAGCTGGGCATGGCCCCGCGTCTATAGACTAGGCCCCTTCCCTGCCTTGAGCAAACAGGGCTGCTCTTCTGGGTCATTGATGTCGGGCAGAAAGTAGCCATAATCTTGCCTTCCTTTTTCCCACTCCCTAATGTAAAAAGAGCTGCATTTGCCACTCTCCTGTCCCTGAGCCATACTCACGGCCGGCCAAGACAGTATCCAGAGCAGATCATTTTGGGAGCCAGAAGCCCAGCCTTTAACAGGATGTTCAGGGACAGACTTGGACAAGAGGGCGGTGGTGGTGAACGTCGTCACTGCAATGAGAGGTGGGCTTAGCCACAAGCAGCTGCTGGCTTCTCATTCCAGGAGTCGAGGCAGGAGAATGGGTTTCCTTTAACCTTCTGCACTCTCCTCCCCAAGAGGCTGGTGGGTTCTGGGACCACTGACCTCAGCAGAAGTTGATAAGTCAGGAGGAATCTTCTAGTACCACAGTGAGCGGGTCCTGGAAAACCAGCTGCTGAGCATGGCTTGTCCTTGGCTCTGTGGACCAGGCAGCATAGGAAGCTTTGAGGTAGGGCACGTGTGTTTTCTCTACCTCTTCTGCGAGCGACCAGCACAATACGATCCCAAAGGTAATTGGCGTCGGAGGGCAGGAATGACCTCTTCCCACATCCCTGGAGTCACCTGGGACTCAGTTCCCTGGGAGCAGGTGGGAAACGGGAGTCCAGGAAAAGCCGCTAGAAGTGTCCATGGTTTAAATGTTGCTTCTTTCTGGTAGCCAGGCCTGTGCTGACTTGTTGAGCCTACCCAGGTCAATGGCTTTTCTGCTCTCCAAAGATTGGGGGTGATGAAGAAGCATCTTAAAATAGTGTTTGGGTCGACAGATTTTTCTAGTTGCAGTATCTGCCTTTTGAGGATGATTCGAGATTACGAGGGCAACTATCAAACCCAATCAGCTTTTGAAAAATCATGAGCGTGCTTAAAATGTCAGTGAGTGGTTGCAAAGAAGAGCAGGTTTATTCCACAGGATAGGCAGTCTTTCCTTCCTCCTCCAGCGCCCTCCCTCCCCCCCCTCCTCTGTAAACCTTGGAGAAGAGTGGGCCGCTGGCTAAAGTGGATCTAGACAGAGCCTTCATGGAGAGAGTGGTTTCCCAAACCTGGAGTGAACCGAGGGAAAGGTTAGAGGTCTGCAGACTTCTACCAGGTGAAATCAAGCCTTTTTCTTCCCATGGTAACCTTAACCATTTCCCCCCTGTAGATTTATACTTCCAGTTCCTGCTAGCATCTCTAGTTATACTGCTCCGATACAGGGTGCTAGTCAGCATCAGGAATTGGAGTACACGGGCTCAGGAGGTGGGAGGAACCTTGGCTGGCACCACCAAACTGCCTTAGTGAATCTGGCCCTTCCCAGGCATTGAGGGAAAGTGGCCCTGCCTTTCCTGTCGGGTCTGGTCAGCCTCATGGGGACATCACCAGTTTGGTGGCAGGAGTTAGTGTCATTTATTGAATCCCCTGCCCCCCTATCCTTTTAGAAGGAGGTCTTGGTACAAAGCCTGGGAGGGGCCTTCATGTGTGAAGACCTCTCTGGGTAGAAGCAAGGGACTTCTGTTTACCACCTCTGGGAGAGTCAGTAGCTTGGAGAGTGTCAAGGCAGTGGACTGATGGGGCTAATGGAGGGTGGCTGGGTTTCCTGAGAGACTTTGTATAATGCTGAATGTGTCCAGAGGGACGAGTTTGCAGAACCTCATATTGGTATATTAAAGAAATAATAAAATAAAAAGCACTTTAGGTTATTTTATCTTTAACCCAGTTGCTGCAATTTCTTTTGTGTGTGTGTGTGTGTGTGTGTGTGTGTGTGTGCTTTCCACAAAGTTTTATTTTTTGCTTAGAATAAAAAGTTAAATTGAGGTGTGAAAAGAAAAGCACTTACCTTGGTGCAATATGTGTAGCTTGATGGTCGTTGTCCCATGTGGCCCTGGCCTGGCCGCATTTTCTGCTCCATCAACTCTGTACCAGGAGGCTGTCTGTAGGGAAACACTATTATGCATTCTCAGCAACTGCTCAATCTATGCAAGCCTTCCCTGTGTGCCTGAGGGCGCCCCCTCAGGCTCTCTAAAGAACTGCTGCGGGTCCTGTTTTCTGCTGACTGTTGAGGCCCTTTTGCATCACTTCTTGCACCCTTGCCATCTTTCCCCCCTTCACTATTACAAAGTGTTGTCTGAAAGGAAGGAACGGGATGTTCCTAGGTAGAAACCTGGCACCTTCTAGACTTTTATATTTGTAATCACGTCCATTGTCCTTAATCTTAAAAGACTTCTCCAGAATCACCGAAACCATTGATTTGTGGAACTTGCAACAGTATTGCTAGACTTTTCAGTTTTCCTAATCACCAATCAGAAATATGTTTGGGGAGGTATTAGAGGTGGGGAGGCAACATGAGCCATTTCCTTACCGCTCCCATGCTACCCCTATTGGCTTTTTAAGCAAAAAGGCCTCCAGCCTTCATTAAATCCAATAAACAAAGCTGTTATAATTTGCTTTATCAACTTTTTCCCTTCCCCCTCAGTCCTCTCTTGTTTCCCCTACCACCCCATTTTATCTTCATTCTCAGGCTACTATACAATGGAAAAGTTTGAAAATACTTCAGCCAAAGCAGAAAGATTTCCATAGATCCAATATGCAAATGATATTGCTGTGACATAGATCAGAATTGTTCATTCCTTAATACTGGGAGGGAGGAGGCAAGAAAACGGAATTATGCATATTTCTGATTGGTAACCAGTTAGGCTATTTCCTCTGGGACAGACTTGGGGAAGAGAAAGGGTCCTGTGTTTCTTCTCATGCCCTTTGGGGAAGCTGATGACCACTGTTTGGGCATTTTTCACTGTTAAGCCCATTCAAGAGGGCTTCTCAGTCTGCACTGAAAATGCAAATTAAACTGGATCTTTATGTTAATGTGTACATAGTACAGCCTTTTTTACTGGATGCAAAGTTTAAACACACTGCCCTTTTGGTGGTGTGCCTGCTGGGCCAAAAATTGGGTGATAACGTAGTGTCACTTTCTCAGCTCAGTGCAGTTTCTACTCTTTTTCTTATGGGAAAGTTTTTCATAAAACCTTTTTTCACCAAAACCCAGGGTTGTTTTTTGCAATATCCTTGTTATCCTCACAGTGGTGCCAAGTCAGAGGCCTCTCTTGCCCTCCCCCTGTGTCCTCAGGCCTCCCCTAGGGCGATGTTTGACTCTAGTCCTTTGTTGTTTTTGGTGAATGTGGGGGCGGGGGTCAGAGTTCAAGGTGGTTGTTTCCTTTCCCTGTGAACTCCTAGTCCCAGTTTGGGGGAGGTGGCTGGAAACTTGGTTTTGCTGAATCTCTGGCTCAGATCTTCTGGCCGGGAAAGGCAAGACCCAGGAGAGCCTTTTCTTTTGGACATACACCGGTCATTGGCTGAAGGTCTCCGTGACAGTTGTCTAAAGCCCAGTAGTTTTATTTGGATTATGTAAAGCCTATCAAATTCATTTAAGTGTGAAACATGGGAACAACAGACTTTCACTGAGCGATATGAAAACGTTACAGGTTCAGTACTTCCAAAGGAAGAAACCTCCAAACCCAAAAGAGTAAATATGAATTTGTATTTTTGAAGAATGTGAAATAATGGTGTTTGCTTAATTGCTCATTTTGTATAAACTTAATATTGTACTTTAAAATATCTGCTAAGAAGTGAAAATTTAACTTTTTGGAATTGAAAAAGCAATATTAAATACTAATGAGATCCTAATTAAATGCTTATTTAAATCTGGTAGTTATCTGTGGTATTTCTTCCCAACCCTGCCAGCTTTCCACCACTTCCTCCCTCCCCAGCCATCAGTCTTAGAGATGGGACAGAAAGGAAAGGCCAGGCACCAGGAGAGTCTGCAGGCTTCCTTTTAATCAAGGCTCTGCTAAAAGTGTTGTGTGGGACTTGGAGCCCCCGAAGCATGAAATGGACATGTAACACCACCTGGATCCCCGGAAGCAGGCCAGACCACTCTGGCGAGCACTGCTGGCCTGCCCAGCTCCGGTCATCGGGCTGGGTGTGCCTCGGCTACATTTCAAAGCTCAGCTCCGCATCAGCCAGGAAGGAGTGAACCCAGCCGCTAGCAGAGCTGCCACCCCAGGCTGAGGGCCAAGTTCCAGCCGCTGCCAGTGAAGACTGGTCCTTGACTGAAGGCAGTTGTTCAGAGTCCAGCCACCAGCCCCCCGGAGGGAGAGAGCTCAGGGCCACGGGCTCGGGAGCGGTCAGGGTTCCGCAGCTCCATCGCCAGCATCCTTTGGGAAACCGCCTCTGGCGCAGACCGCTGGCTGGGGGGGCGCCCCGGGTTTGGATGAGACACTCTGGTAGGAATAGGAAGGAAAAAAGTGAGGCTGGGAGGCAAGGCCTCGGATTAGGCCGCAAGGATATGGCTCCTTGGCATCTGGACAGCACTTAACTTTTTCAGAGCCTCTCACCCAGATGAAAAGTGGGAGGTACAGCAGCGGGGGCACGTTCACTCTCAGGGGGAGCTGGGGCTCAGCTAATCTAGCCAGTGGACAGTCCCCACCTCCCAGGCCCGGTCGGGAGGCACTGACCCCGCCACCCGCCGGCTCCGGGCGCCGGCGGCCCAGCTGCCGCAGCATCTCCTCACAGGCGGCGATGGTGTCCAGGAGCTGCCGCTGCCGCTGCTCCACCGCGTCCAGCAGCTGCTGGGCGCGCTCATCCCGGGGCGGCTGCGGGGGTGGCCTCCCGCCGAGCCCCAGCCCCGCCTTCCCACGGTCCACGCCGGCAGCCTCCCTGCCCGGAGAGAGCGAGACAGGCCGTCAGGGCCGGAGCTGGCGCGGGGTCCGAGCCCATTCCCCCCGCCCCGACGGGTCCCCTCTCACCCCCGTGACCAGTCTGAGCCGGGGCCCCATTCCATCTCCGCCTGCGCGGCCCGACCACCGCCCCCCTTTCGGCCGCCCCCTCCCCAGCGCTGCGCTAAGGTTCCGCAAAGCTGCGCCCCGCCCCGTCCCCACCGGTCTCCTTCAATCCTCCTGGGGGTCGCGGTCCCTTTAAGTTGCTCGGCGCGGAGGTGGGGCCGAGCCTCCCGGACCGGAAGCTGGCTGCGTGCGTCACTTCCTCCCGGAAGCGGGCCTGGGCGGATGTCTCCGGCGGGTCCGTGCAGGGGACTGAGGGCCGCGGTGGCTGCCAGCGTGGGACTGAGTGAGGGGCCGGCGGGCTCCGCCCGCAAGGGCCGCCTCCTCCTCCCTCCGGGCCCCGCTCGGGCGGCGCCGGGGGCCCGGCTGTTACGGCTCCCGGGGAACGGGGCCGTGCGGGCCGCAAGCCCGGAGCGCGCCGGTTGGACCGAGGCGCTGCGGGCGGCCGTGGCCGAGCTGCGCTCCGGCGCCGTGGTGGCCGTCCCCACCGATACGCTGTACGGCCTGGCGTGCTCGGCGAGCTGCTCGGCGGCACTGGACGCCGTGTACCGCCTCAAGGGCCGCAGCGAGGCCAAGCCGCTGGCTGTGTGCCTGGGCCGCGTGGTCGACGTCTACAGGTAAGGCTTCCCCGGCCCGGCCCTGCTGGGGGCGGCTCCGCGGGAGGGGCTTCCGGTGACAGGCTTGGGAGACTGAGGCGCCGGGAGCGGGAGGGGCCTGTCCGGCTCGCCCAGGAATCCGGAACTGGAAGTGTGTGTCCGCCACTTCGCGTCGGCCAGGCCCTCGGCGAGAGGCAGCGGCGCAGCCGCGAAGGCCGACCAGGCCCCTCTTCTCCTGGCGTTTCTGTGATTAATGGGGGCGGGGCGGGGAACGCCCACGGTGAAAAGGAAAAGGAAAAGGAAACAGTAGCTTAATTTAGCCGGGAGGGCTTTGAAGAGGAAATAAAACACGGACGGGATAGCCGCGCAGCCGTTGTAATTTCGGAGACCGGAGGTGTGTGGGCCCCAAGCTTGGGGTGCTTCTCCGGAGCCCAGGCTCGTAGGTGAAGAGGGAAGACGGGTGGGTCCCGCTGTCGTCCCGAGGGTCCCCTCTTCTGGATCTGCCCAGAGTCTGGACCGGGACCAGCAGTGGCCCTTCATTCGTGGGTAGAGCTGTGCCCCCTTTGTTTCCCAGGTACTGTCATGTGAACGTACCCGAGGGGCTCCTGAAAGACCTGTTACCAGGACCGGTGACCCTGGTGATGGAACGCTCGGAGGAGCTCAACAAGGACCTGAACCCCTTCACTCCCGTGAGTGGGATTTTCTCTCGTGTCTCCCTGCCATTCGGCTTTCACACGGACCCAGGCTGGACCCAGAACCCCCTCCTTCCATCCATTCTCATGGTCCCCTTTCTCCTTGTTTCATAGCTTGTGGGCATCCGGATTCCTGACCATGCCTTCATGCAGGACTTGGCCCAGATGTTTGGGGGGCCACTTGCTCTCACCAGTGCCAACCTCAGCTCCCAGCCCAGTTCTCTGAATGTGGAGGTGAGAGTTGCCTAGTTGTTGTACCATCCCCAAATGTCATCGGGCCTAACACAGTTTTCTCTGAACCAGAGGGGTTGGTGGTTCGCTGGAATTGCCCGACAGAAGAGTTTAATGATGGGAAGTCTGCCCAGTTAGCAGGGGTTGAGCTGGGGGAAATCCAAGTTAAAGAATCTTGGAAAGGTTTTATTACAAAGCTTGAGAAGGAGGGGGGAGATGATGGGTGTTTTCTTTCTATCCTATATAATAAAAGGCTAATATGCAAATTGTCCCCTTGGGAGTTTGACCAACCAGAAATTTGACCACTGGCTATGACGCTCCCTATGACGTGCACTGACCACCAGGGGGTGGTGCAGAACAAGGAAGGCCCTAGGGACCCTACCCATGCACGAATTTCTGCACTGGGCCTCTAGTCTTTTTAATAAGAAACATAAGTATAATTGTTTTTCCCCTTGTTGTAGGGGTAGCAGTTATCGGGGAATAAGGCAGTAAGCCTTTACAACAGTGCTATAAAGGAAGTTAAGGCTCCAAAAAGTTAAATCACTTGGCCCAGGGACTCCTGATCATGTTCTCTTACCTCTGCCATGAGCCAGGCCAAAGGATCATCCTAATCCTGTGTTAGCTGCATAGCTTGGAACAAATGAGGACACAGAGAAATTCACCTTACCACTGTTTTCTTCTTACTGAACTTAAATGCAGAACATAGCAAAGGGATGTGGTTTTCCATGCCCAGACCTAGAGAGTGGGTTCAGGGGCCTGGGAAAGTGAGAGCTCAGCATCCCTTCTTATTCCCAGACTGCAGGCTTTTACTTGGTCCTGGTGGCCATACTCAAGGCGTTGGGGAAGGGGATGGCGGGAGGTATTCCTGCCTGCTCAGCAAACAGTTGGCCTATCCAACTGGTATTTCCCTATTCCCAATTCCCGGGCCCATCTTCATAAGGGGTGAGGGCAGGGATGAGGGGGAGTAGGCGATGCTGTAGCTAAGAAGGGAGTACCCTTCCCGTAGCCCAAGGATTGAGTGTTGGTGGCATGCACTTACAGAGTCCACCCCGTTTCCTCTCCGTACTGTGATCCACAGTTCCCCTGAGATCCAGGATCGGAGTGCTAGAGCGGGAAGGGACCCTTAGGGAGCATCTGTCCAGCTCCCTTATTTTACAGCCACAGATAAAGTAACTTGAATGCGGTCATACCGAGATTTGGAGGAAAGTCCAGGGTAGAGCCCATCCCTTTGGGCTTCCACCTTGGACTCCAGTCATTGTGCTTACAGCTCCCCAACAGAAATGTATGGAATTTCTTCCTGGCACAGCAAGATACTCTTTGAGCTCTAGATAGATGTTACTTGGGGTGCTGATGTGGGGGAGGGGACCTTAAACCTCATAGGATGTATGTCCTTAGCATAGCTGACCTTAATTAATTGAGGTTCCTTCCCCTCTTATAGGAATGTGCCTCCTGGTTTGGGATTGTGTAGCCCAGGGGTCCTCAAACTACGGCCCACGGGCCACATGCAAATGCAAATATTGTATTTGTTCCCGTTTTGTTTTTGTTTTTTACTTCAAAATAAGATATGTGCAGTGTGCATAGGAATTTGTTCATAGTTTTTTTTTTAACTATAGTCCGGCCCTCCAACGGTCTGAGGAACCCCTGTTTAAAAAGTTTGAGGACCCCTGGTGTAGCCTTTGTCTTGTGAACCCTGCCTGCATTGTGACGACATTGCATGGGGTTAGTGTCCATGCTCTTCCTCTCTCTCTTCTTAGGAGTTCCAGGACCTCTGGCCTCAGCTGTCCTTGGTAATCGATGGGGGGCCAATTGGGGATGGCAAGAGCCCCAAGTGTCGCCTCGGCTCAACTGTGGTTGACTTGTCTGTGCCTGGAAAGTTTGGCATCATTCGTGCAGGCTGGTGAGTCTCTCCTATGCTGTGGGGATAGAATTTGAGGGAGGTTGGGAATGCAAAAGTGGCCTTGACAAAATACAGGTTGTCACACTCTCTTGCCCTGACAACCTTTATTTTGGAGAAGTGGTGGGTGGAGTGAGACTAAGTTTGCTGGTGGTTGCTGTTTCTTTCAGGATTCAAAAGGGTTTGATGAACAGAATGCAGTAAGACCAGAGAGTTAGAGCTCCCTGATCACTGGACTCTGGTGGGCTTTGAGAAGTCAGATTCTTAACTGTCCTCATTTCCTCCTCAGTGCCCTGGAAAACACTACGGATGTCCTCCAGAGGAAGTACGGGCTGCTCCCTCGCAGGGATCCTGCTGAGACTTGAGAGGCAGAAGGGCCCAGGGACTAATGCTGGACACTACGTTTCTTGTCTACCAGTGGATGGCCAGGCCTCACTTGAGAGGCCACTGGGGCCACAGCGTCACTAGTCTGACTTTGAAGGCAGCTTACCTTTATGAGCACTGTAACCAGGCCCCAGAAGAAGCTGGTTTAGCTTCACACCTGGGGAAGGGGGCTATATTTATTGTCTATAATTTCATGTCAGCCAAAAGCTGAATAGAGACTTTAAGAACATTCCTAGGATGCTTATTCTGATAAGCTTCTTCTCTCCCTCTCTCTTTTTTTTTTAAATTCTTGATATATAATTTAAATAACATTTGGAATCTAGTGAGAGTTGGTGGCATTTAACCCTACCAGACCGCTGTACCGATTTTTCATTAATTTCCACACAAAGGTGGAATATTGGCGCTAGATGAAAGGTAGACCTATTTTCTACAATGTCTCCAAGTTCCATCTTATTCTAACCACTTGTTTGCATGTAACTAACATTTTTCTATATCATGTTGGTTTTTTCTCTTTAATGCTCAGGAGCCCAGGTATAAGGGACAGTTAGGTTCAGGGCCTCAGGTCTGGTAGGATTAAGGTCCAAATAAGCTAGAGTGCCAGTTGGTGCTGTTTAAAGGACTCAAGTGACCAAAGGCTTGAGTTTTGTGCTCCTGAAGCTGGAACCGGGTTAGTATAAAGACTAGAGTAACAGGCCAAACACACTTTCCTCTGAAGCAGGGGCTGGTGGTGCGGCATGCTGCCTTGCCTGGCAGAGGGTCATCGCTTTCCGCTAATGGTGGGAAGCCAGCTCAGTTGGCAGGGAGTGGGATGGGGGATCCAAATTAAAGAGTATAGGAAAGTAAATCTCTCTTCAGACAGTGCCTTTTTTCTTATTCATAAAATACATTATAATGACACCATTATTTAAACCTAGTGTCCACTCAGCAGCCTTTATCTGCATTCATATGTATATCATGTATTAAACATAGTTATTGTTGGGCATTTGAACATTTTCTTTCATAGGAAATAATGCCTCTATTAGACGTCTTTGAAAATGGTTTGTTTTTCTTCTTTGAATTATTTCCTTAGGGTAGGATTACTGGGTCAAAGTATATGAACATTTTTATGGCTCTTGATACAGATTAGCCTTGAGAACTGAATCCGGTTCCATCAGTGATGTGAGAATTACTACCCCCCATCCCCTGGAGCACTGCCATGCTTTTGGTATTTTTCAAATTGTATATTTGTGAAATGAGGCCTCAGTGTTACCCCTTTTGTAAATTACAGGTCACCCCATCCAGCCCTTTTCACCTGTCCCTGCTTGCCTTGGTTTCCCCAACTAAGTCACAAGCAGGTGACCAGGCCTACCCCATCCATCAGTGGGGTTTAATATCAGTTACCTCACTGCAACTGGGAGTCCTTGTGGTACCCAGTAGGGCCCACTACCTCCCCTCTGCCT